TCTTTGTATAGGATGGCTGGGAGGCCATCCACTGCACTTCATAGGCCGCTAGTGACCCCGACTATCACTTCAGCATTTGCTTAGTATCCAACACGCTTGGCTTTATCGAGGACTCGCCGCCTCCTATTGTCTTGTCTCGTTGGGTCTTGTTGAAGTACCTTGCTCTCGCTCGCTCTCGCTCTCGCTCGCTACTTTGCAGTACGGAGTACAGCATAGGGTGGATCCAACGGCCAAAACCAACGAAGAGTCGATGTCTTTCGAGTTGGCGAACGAACGTGTGGAGTTGCGCCCTTCACAATACATCGAGCCTGGTCTTTCGAGTTGGCGAACGAACGTGTGGAGTTGCGTCCTTTCACAATACACCGAGCCTGGTCATATAACTTCTTTTCGTTTCAGACCGCAAGTGCTTTCTCCCATTCTTGTTTCAATAAGCTCAACGTTACACCGCTTGCGATCTCACTCGCTACTCGAAGTATGGAGTACTGTATACCGGTAGCACATCAAGGGATTGCGCCTTTATTATTATATAATGTAGTCATACCAGTCGGTTCGTTCCCGGTAGAAATTGACGAGGACAAGGCTTCGGTGCATAATTTGTCTCGTGCCGCTCGCGAAACGGGAAAGAAAATTGCTCGGCGCTCGTTCGGTACCGTATCCACATTTTGGATCCGAACGGTGATGTGCAGGCCCATCCTTCCAGCGTCCTTCCTCGTCTTCGTCTCAATTGTTGCACGAAGAGCTCGCCATGCAACCGGCTGTGCAATCGCCAAGGGTCACAGCACCAAGTAATCACCAGTCAGAACCGAAACTTATGGCCTTGGGAAAACCAAAGGCACCTTGGATACTTGCCGGTATGCCCTTGGCAAAACACACAGCAGTGACTCTGGCTTGCTGTTTACGTGGCGGTGAGCTATGGCGATGGGTTGTGTTTAACGCTAGATACCGGTAGGTACTTACCGGTACCGGTACCGGTATAGGTAGCAAAGTCAAGGCAATCTCTAGGGTCAGTCCACTTGAAGTTGCTAGGGATGCCGCGCCAACCCGACGGTACAGTATGTATGCATTTGAAGTTGGGTGAGGAGCAGCCCCACCCCTAGAGTTATACCAATCGAAGGATGTCCTGCTCTAAGTGGTCGTGTCGTTAGGTATTGGCTCACGGAGGTACACTCACTCGGCTTAAGGTTCGCTCTGAGCACACATGTAGACGTCCAGAAACGAGATGCTTCTAGACTATAAACTGTGAAGTGCATTAAGTTGTTCTTTGGCACCCCTGTAGATACTAAATCCTGCATCTACTGAGATAATAGTCCTTGATCCAAGCGGTGTGTATTCTCGAACGATCACTGGAGTGGCTCCAAACCTTCACTTCGTTTCGATCCCTCAATACAAATATCAAGTATGCTCCCGGCACGACCAGCAGAACCTATTTGTATGACGTCCTGCGACTTACTGTCGTGCAGTCTTTTGGCGCCAATCAGAGGTGCTCATTAAATAGATTTCAGCCAATCGTCAAGGCGAGTGTGACGAAGCATGGGGTGGATTCACAATGACGCTGATGTGTAAACAGCCTCTGGGTGTCCATTTCGGCAACGAGGACTTGTCCGAATTGTATGAGCCCTTTGATATGGTACCTTGTACGAGCCCTCCCTGTGTTTGGCAAGGTATCCAAACCATAGAGCAGAGTTGGGATTTCAGCCACACTACCGCACCTAGAAAAATACCCTTCTCGAGCTTTTCGGCTTGCAAAGCTGATGTGCTCAGTTTCTTTCCCGTCATTTCGACAGAAACAAAGACCAGCGAACGAGTGTCGAGTCTTTGTAGGTCGATCGCAAACGTCGTTTCCGCGATGCGAACGCAGTCATTGGCGAGTAGAGCCTCTCGCCCAAGGGACGATACAGCAAATTCTCGCGGAGAATCACTGCCTGGCTCAAATCTGCTGACGAGCAAGCAATAATGAATGGCAACTTCAAGTTAGTTTAGGTTTTCTGGTGCCGATTTCAAGTGTCCGAATTTCGCTGAGCGATTCGAAGGCAGATCCGGATAGCTATATCCGGTACCCGACTACGGCGTGTGGTCGGCATTTGCACTTTTGCTTCGCCAACCTCAGTTGAACATGCTCGCCCGCTCGATCTCCGCCCGCTTCTTCAGCGCCGCTGCTGCCGGCAAGAAGGTACCATGGGTGCAAGATGGACGAAGAACTCATCTCGGATTGCGTAGGTTGCCGTCCTCGGCGCCGCCGGTGGCATTGGCCAGCCCATGAGCTTGCTGCTCAAGGTAGGCTTCCTGTGAACCTGCGTTTGCTGAACGTAGCAAGGATAGGACTCGGACCACATCTCGCACTTGTCGCTCTTCGATGTCGTCAACACGCCCGGTGTGGCCGCTGATGTCTCGCACTGCAACACGCGCGCTACGGTCACGGGCGTCGCCGGCATGGAGAACATTGAGGAGGCGCTTACGGGCATGGACGTTGTCGTCATTCCCGCTGGTGTCCCGCGCAAGCCTGGCATGACGCGCGACGACTTGTTCAACACGAACGCGTCGATCGTCCAGTCGTTGGCGTCTGCGTGTGCCAAGTACTGCCCGGAGGCCATGATGC